TGGGAACCTCCAGCCATTTTTGCAGAGGAACCAACGCTGCTCACTGCAGGCCAGAAGATGAGACTGGGAGTGTGATGTAGGGCAAAAATCATGAGCCATGTACCTCTCAAAGCTCAGCTCTAACAGCATGTGACAAGGAGTCAGTGTGACATTTTCTGGGTACGGGGGTAGGACAGAGGCCATGTAGCCTTTCATAGCTCTGTCATAGCCCCAGCAGGCTGCAGAGGCATTCTGAAGGCTCATCCACATCTTCACAGGGATACAAGGATCCCCAGCTGACATCTGTGTGTCCACACTCACACAAATGCCATCTTTCCTTTGTGCTGCAGAACGAGCGGCGCTGCGAGTGCAAGCAGGGCTATGTGGGTGATGGGATCCAGTGCCTGGAACAGGTTGTGCCCCCCACGGATCGGTGCCTGGAAGACAACGGGCAGTGCCATCGGAAAGCTATCTGCACCGACCTGCACTTTCACGGTGAGTGTGCTCAACCCCACAGTGCTGGGGATGATGCTCCATGCAGAGGTCACATTCCCTCAGCCTTAACCTTCAGGCTGGGACACCCCTCAGGAGAACTGGAGGGTGGGATGGCCAAAGGGGATGGGGACTCACCTCTGTAGCTTGGTCTGTTTTTCACATTCCCCTTTTCCCTACGTGTCATACGGGGAGGACAAGCTATCCCTGGAGGTTTTCAAGATGAGACTGGATGTGGCACTTACTGCCATGATCTAGTAACGACAGTAGGGTTGGACTCAATGATCTTTGAGGTCTCTTCCAACCTGGTTGATTCTATGATCCTTGTCTGCCCCTGTTTGATGTGAGATGGCCTCTGGTGGGTTACACTGCCAGGAAGCACTGACTCCCTTGTGGAAGGTGAGCAGCTCAGAGGAAGCCTCACCCTCACCTGCCGTTGTACGCATCCCACCCACCCACACAGCACATCCCAACTCCCCATCGGCCGTGCTGCCTGTGCTCACACCGGGACCCATGTGGCTGCCCAGGGAGGTGTCTCACTGTGCTGTACTGATCCTCCCAGGCCTTGGTATTTTGCAGATAAGACTATGGGCGTGTTCCACCTGCAGTCACCCCGAAAAAAGTACGACTTCACTTACGAGCAGGCTCAGGCAGCCTGTGCCGCAGAAGGTGCTTCCCTGGCCACGTTCCAGCAGCTCTCAGCAGCACAGCAGGTCAGGGCAGGGGCTGGGACATGCACTGCTTCTCCCCAGGCCTGGTCCAGCCTGGGGAGGACATGTGGGTAGGTGATCTCCCATCCCCTCAGCCAGGCACTGGTTGTTCCATCTACATCTATGAAACCAGGACGGCTGATGGGCCTTGTCAGTTACATTCAGAGGAGACCTGTGCCAAGTGCCCAATGCTTGAGGTGTTGGGGGGAGATTGGATAAGACTGCATAATGGGAATGTGCATTGGGGCAAAAATCTTGAGCCAGACATATTATTTTTAATCTAATCATTCATTTTCCCTTCTAGATGGGATTTCACCTGTGCTTGGTGGGTTGGCTGGACAATGGCACAGCTGGATACCCCACGGCCTACCCCAACCCCAGCTGTGGGTCCAACCATGTGGGCATCGTGGACTATGGCTCCCGAAGCAACCTAAGTGAGACTTGGGATGCCTTCTGCTACCGGGAAAAAGGTGAGTGGCACTGGCACATTTCCCTGGGACAGTCCCATTGGACACAAGAGGCATGAGGCAAGGCAGGTGGGCACACTGCCCTCTCCGCACGCCCGTGTTCGGAGGGAATGTGCTGAGCAGTATCCGGAAGTCAAGGGAGGGGTGGACAGTGTAGCAGCATTGGTGAGTCAAGTCACACCTTGGTGTTGTTTTGCAGACCTGACTTGCACGTGCCGTGACGGGTTCGTGGGAGATGGGTACTGGTGCAGCGGCAAACTCCCCGATGTGCTCGCAGACCACGACCGCTTCTCCATCTTCTACTCCGTAAGCAATGCCCTCCTGGTCCTGCAGCAGCCCACAGCTGGCAGCAAGGCAGAGGGAGGAGTGGTGGTTCTGTCTGTGTGCAGGGTAAAGAGTACAAACACAGAGGGGTTTTCTTTCCAGAGCTGGGGGTGTTTCCTGGGCTGGGGCAGGTAATGGCACTGCACTGCCCACAGTGTGCTGATGGGAAAGGTCTCCCATCTTTTCCAGATGTTGCTCGATTTTGCCAATGACACAGAAGGACTGGATTTTTTCATGTATTTGTCTGATGACTCCAGTCCCAAAACCCTCTTTGTCCCTCTGAATTCTGGTTTTGCAGACAATGAGGTAAGCAAGCATGAACGAGTGGCTGCTTGAATGCGTGGGACAAACTTTCAGAGCCCCAGAGGAGAGCAGGAGCCTGCTAAAGCTGGCATGATGGTGTGAAATAGTCTGGGGAAAGAGGAGGAATGTGGGTCAGAGGGGACCACTGGGGGTCTCTGGTCCAACCACACCCTCAAAAGAGCCATTTAGGTCAGGTTGCTTAGAGCCTTCTCCAGCTGAGCTTTGACTGTTCTTAAGGATGGTAACTCCCTTCTGCTCTGCACAGTAGTTCTGTGCCGTGTTGCCATGAATGGAGCTGTCTGTGGCCATGAAGAGAGTCTGGGCTGGGCCAGGGGGACTGCACAGCAGCAGGGAAGGGGTGAGAGCCAGCTGAGCATTTCTCATCCCTGTGCCCTGTTGCTATTTCAGACACTGACAGGAGAAGAACTGAAGCTCCATGTGTCATCCAGCAATGTTGTCCTCTTCAGCTACAACCTCACAACAGGCACCATCATCCCTTCCCAGTCAGGATATGCCCTCCACGTATCCGACCTCCCAGCAGGCAACAGCACAGAGCACTCAGTAGGTTTAACCTCAGCAGAGGGCAAAAAAAAATCCCCCAAGTTTTCATCACACCTCTTCTGAGACAGGGAACAATGGGGAGGCTTTCTGGTCAGGTGACATCATCTCTGCCCTGTGCTGTAGGACGCCAAGGGCATCAATGACACGATGATTGTGGAGTGGGACATCATAGCCTCCAACGGCATCATTCACGCGATTGCGGAGCCGCTGAGGATCCCCCCGCCCCGCGTGCAGCTGGGGCAGGTAAGCCTGAGGGCACGAACGGGGAAGGCAGAAACAGCAGGCACCGGGCCTGGCAACAGTATGAGGCAACCCAGCCCAGGACTGGCCTCCTCTGCGCTCCTGGCACGGCTCGTTTTGCACGGGGAGCGACAGGAGGGTGGCTGTGTGTGAAGTGCCATCGCTCTGCCAGGGGAGCGCCGTGATGGGGCCGCTGTTCTTCCCCGCAGGTGAACGGCGTGGCGCAGGACTCGGGCTCCGTGGCCACAGCCACCCTGTCCGCGCTGTGCTTCGCGCTGGCAGTGGCTGCCGGGGCCGGGG